AATTTAATTGTATTATATCGCTATATATAATAATTTATTATATATTAAGCTAGCTATAATAACATAAAACTTAGAATTTACAAAGATAAAGACACTTTTTACACAAATTATTTTGAAGAAAATTATTATTTACAGCTTATAATATTTATAAATTCAAAGTTTACTCTTGATATTATAACTAAGATTCTATCTCCCACATTTGCTTGTATTAGCTTCGTACTAACATACAACTCGTTTTACATTAATGGCGAAACAGTAAGTCAAACATCTATTATATTTATCATAATAAACATCCATTTATCATAAATGTTTATTTAAAAATTTTATAGCATTCTTTTTTTTACTTTACGAAAAGATAAATAAAATAAAAGAGCTTATTATAAATAATAGATAATGTACTTAATGGAACAGCTCCAGAATATCTATGATAATATAAAGGACAACAATGAATTCATAATCATGGAAAACTATGGGAACAACGCGAAACATTATACAATTGTATTGATAAGTAAGAAAATTTTTCTTCTGGTTCCTATTACATTTCATATTTCAAGTTTATTAATGACCCACACACATTCACACATTACCGAAGCCTTTATATAAAATAAGAAATATTTTAAATCATGTAAAGTGTCACACAACGCCTAAATTGAAATGTAACATGTTACTTGCTTACATTGTTGTGTTTATTACTTTTCTTTGTCTTCGTACCTGTTCATATATCTGCCGAAATCTGGCCTGGTTTTTCCGACGTTATTTTATCGTTCAAGTCTCAACCATGTCATATGCAGATTACGGCTGACTATTTTGTAAAACAAGAACAATATTTCCGCTTACGGCAACTGCATATAAATGTTGCTATCTACATAGGGATTGTTGCAGTAATAGCAACTGGGGCAATGCTCATTGCATTTATTCAATATATCTGCGGAATGTTCAGAATTGCTAGGTAAACATTATATAAATAATTAAATAAATAATAATAATAATTAAATAATAATAATAATAATTAAATTATTAGAATTGAAAGCAGTTAGTTGGCTTATTAAATAAATTAATCACTTCATATACAAGATATTCGAAATTTATGGACATGTTTAAAATGATGGAATGTGAAAATAAAATGTTAGAAAAATAATGATTTTGAAGGATAAACTGGTATAATTGATATATCAATACGTCTTTTTAACGAGATATAAATAGATAATAATATTTTATTCTGCTAATAAAATAATTACAGTAAACTTTATTTTGAACTGGAAAATACATGTTATTTCAAGCCCTAATCATCAACATAATTATGTTAATAATCAAAAACAGTTTTTTTTTAAATTTTTTTAAATATCAATAAAAAAATAGTGACTCTATAGATGTGGAAAATATCATGTAAGACTTATACATATATAAAAGTATTATTAGAAATATTAAAATGGTTTACTTTATAAAGCGTTTCAAAACCAGTAATCGCGAAAAGTATTAATGGCATGCAAATATGAGAAATGACGAGAAATGTCGTCGTACAACTTACCAATTTATCTATTCAGATTACATTTCTATCCGTTGCATATATTTATCGCTCTATTAAGTTCCATGTATATCCTTGAAAGGTTGTGCGACACGAATCAACGCGCATGTGATACGGAAATATTAAAGTTAATTATTGTTGCAATTATCCCGCGAGAAAAGACTTCATATATCTGCCTATCTGGAGTAGTTCTGTGGGGCGTATCGGACATGACAGACATGTGTGTTTCACTTGTGAAATACATACTTTTACCACAGAGAAAAGACGACTGCGCTTGCGTAACTTTTACGCCTCAAAATTTATTCCGTGGATTTTATTCTATGAGAAAGAACTTGGTTGTGAATTTTCTTCGATATTATATCGATCGCTTAATACACAACCTCGCATTAAAAAAATAGTGTTAAATTGCGAGTGTGTGTTTTGTGCCCTTCTGGAGTCAGGCTGAATTACGAAAGCTTAAATTATAGAAAATTAACGTTGTAGAAGGGAGAACTTATGGGTGGAAAAGAAGGGTGGCAATATATAAAGGGCTAGGGTCGAATAGTGGGGATAAGAACCTTCGTCGCCATCATCCCCGTCAAACATATTTCAGTGCTAGAAGTGAAATGATCAGTGTAAAAGATCGATATTTCAGTTTGAACTGTACTCTCTTGCTGATACTTGGTTTATAGCCTTATAACAAATCTAAATTTGCTCGATTTCAATCAATCTGCTTCTTTAGCATTGAAGCAACCTTTATTGTACCTCAAGTATGTATGTATTAAAATATTTTAATTATATGCATTATATAGAATTTTGAAATCCAATTGAGCTGCTCTATATCTGAAAATTTCTCAATTGAGATATAAGTGATTGAATATGGAAAATATTTCTGAAACTCCGAAAAAGTGCTGCTAAATAATAAAAAATGTTACTTTTTATTTACATTTTTCATTAGTATATTTAGATTTCCATCTTATATTCTAGATTAATAATCTATAGAATAAATACACAAATATATATATATTTATTGTTACAATCTAATAAAATTTGTGTATGAGTGATAATATTTGTCGACTTCTGCTAATGAAAAATCGATCAAAAATATTTGTGGCTATCTATATGAATATAATACATCTTATCGTGAATATACTATTACATTGTCACTTATAATATTCCTTACTTTTACGTAACTGTTGTGAATATATTATTATAAAAAATAAATTTATATATTTATAATGTGTGTATTATATTTGACACTATATATAATATAAATATACAAACATA